AGTCCAATAGTCGGAGCTTTAAGTAGCAATATATTCATCCCAAAGAGCGAACTATCGTGTAGAGAGAGATGCCTGACAGGGAAAATAAAAAATATGTACAATGGAGATATAATCCTTACATCATTAAGAGCGGAAGGTTTTGATGTTAAGGTAAGTCTTTGGAAAGCTTTATTGGTGGTTATCGAGTTCAAGAATGCTAAAGAATGTTAGGCATTTTGGGCAAGGAGAAATGAATGGGTCGGTAGTTGGTTTGATGAATTAGAATTACTGGAAGGATATAATAGTATGATTAAAACAAGAATTTGGGTTACTTTGAAGGACGTGCTTCTCATAGTTTGGAGCGAGAAGTTCTTCAAGGATTTAGGTAGCAGGTGGGGCAAAGTTATTAAGATTGATGAAGAAACGTCTAATAGAACCAGGTTCGATGTGGCAAGGTTCTTGCTGGAAGTCCAATATGAATAATTTATTCTAGAAAAAGTGTCCATCATTCTTAATGGAAGTGCGTACAAGATGAGAATTCAAACAGAAGCACATGAGGGGGATAGAGTCTTCATTGATGGATCTTTGGCTGGTGGTAGAGCGTGGCTTACAGCTAGTGAAGAAGCGGAGGGAGCGTGGCATACATACGGTGAAGAAGCGACAGACGTTCCAGTGTTCGAAGCTGACTTTGCTAAAGGATGTGGTTTTGAGAAAGTTCATAATGATGGAGTGCAACTCGAACTGTTGAGTCAGAGGTGTGATAATGACAGTGGGACTTTGCATGTCAGTATGGTTCATGCAAATGGAAACGTAGGAAATTCTGAAGCCTTAGATATAGGGCTTCATGAAGTACCAGTTGTTCCGTATGTTGGGTCGGGTCGTCAGCTGGTTGATGAAAGTTTTGGGCTAATGGAAATAAATAGGAATTCCGACCAAGTCTGGGCGGCCCAATCAATTTCCAATAGTTCTAGATTGTTGGATGTGCCTGTTGAAGAGGATTATTTTCTCAAGGATTCAGACGAGGTTTGTTCGTTTGAGATAAGAGGAGAGAGTAAAGGTTTGAATACAATTAAAATTCAAGCAATGATATTTTCAGCGGATGAGAGCATAATTAAATCAGTGAAAAAAATGGTGAAAATGAGGAGTGAACGTATATCCAAGGAAAAAATAGTTTTAAAAGGAAAAAGGGGAATGGTGGTTTGTTAAATTCAAGTGGTGTTCTTGAAAAAAGTGGGGTTCTTCGTGGGGTCAATCTTGGGAGTAAATCGAGGATAGTGAAAGAAGCTGAGGCGATCTTAGCTATTGGGGAGTCTTTGGGAGTGGAATTCGCAGCTCCAAGGCAAGAAATCCTCCAAAGATTAGAGCAGATCGAGATGTCGGGTAAGGATTGAACAATGTAATAGATGGGTGTTTGTTTCTTTGTGTTGTGTGATCTGAATTTTTATGGATTTGGGTATAGCTATGATATCGTGGAACGTTAGAGGCTTAGGGGAAAATGAAAAACTTAGGGATATTTGTCGTGTTATGAATTAGAACAAATCTAGTGTGGTATTGCTTCAGGAAACAAAACTGTCCGAAATTTCTGCTTCTGTGGGAAGGAGGTTAAAAGGTTTGATAGGTAGGGAGTTGGTCTATACTTCAACCGAGGGTGCTTCAGGAGGTTTAATCTCATTGTTAGGCCTGTAAATGAACTGAACGTTCAGCGAACCGTTCATGACAGTGCGGCGGGAAGTTCGTTTATGTTCGTTTATTTATTAAATGAACGAACATGAACAAGATTTTGCGTTCGTTTAATTAAATGAACGAACATGAACAAGATTTTGCGTTCGTTTAATTAAATGAACAAACGTAAACAAAGGTCTCGTTCGTTCATTTACGTTCGTGAACGTTCGACTATATGTTCGTTTATGTTCGTTCATTTATGTTCGAACAGAGGGCAAGTTGAATATGTTATGAAGATTATCGAAGTTGTTTGGATTTCAAGAAGATTGTTTTGTTGAATAAATTAATTTTAAGACTTTATTATGTTCATATAGCTTATTTATGATTTATGTATGTTTTTGTCGTATTCGAACAAATTATATCTAAAGTTGCAGGTTATATTAATGAATTTTAAGTTGTTATTCTTGTTGTTTACTTTTTTTTACATTCGTTTGTTGTGTTTGAATAAGTTTTTTTTGTGTTCGTTTATGTTCGTTCGTTCGTGTTCGTTTATTTATTAAATGAACGAACATGAACAAAAAAAAATTGTTCGTTTATGTTCGTGTTCGTTTATTTATTAAATGAACGAATATGAACATACCTTCGCGTTCGGTTCGTTTACAGGTCTACTCATTGTGGGATCCCAAGTGTTTAAGGTGAGAATGAAAATAGTGTATAGGAGAATTATTGCATTAAAGGGTCAACCATTATTGAATAATTTAGAGATCAAAATTATTAACGTCTATGGTCCGAATATTCAAAGAGATAGAATTGAATTTTTTGAATTGTTTCATGAAGTTATAGTAAATTTGGATGTTCCTGTTATTGTGGGGGGTGACTTCAACAGTGTTAGGATGGCTTCGGAAAGAACATGGGGTTAAGATCATTCGGCTACTATGAGGAGCTTTGAAGAGTTTATTTATTGTGGAATTTGGTCGATGTTCCAATATCGGGCAGCTTGTTTACTTGGTTTACGGGAGGTGTGAATATGACGGTGAATAGGCTCGACAGGTTATTGGTCTCAACTGATATAGCGTATGCGTTCCCACAGCTATTTCAAACCATTCTTCCTAGAAGTTTATCGGACCATAAACAGTTATGCTTAAAGAAAGGAGATTAAAAAAGTTTGCCCGTCCCTTTAAATGGTTTAATCATTGGGCAGATGATCCAATCTTGTTTCAAAAAATTAAGGGTGTATGTGAGTCTAATAAAGGCAAAGGTATGACCCAAATTTTGATGTTGTCGAAGGCTGAAACGAAGGCATGGGTTTTGACAGTCCGAGAAAATAAAGCAGATTTTGTTGAAGAGATTGGTATAAAGATTGAAAGCTTAGAGAATCTATGCATATTGTATCCAAGTAATTGTTTAGTCCAAACAGAGCTGGTGACATTAAAGGCAAGACTATGGGCAGAATTGAGAAAGCAAGAACGAGAGTGGCTTCAAAAATACAGATTGAAGTGGTTCAAAGAAGGTGATAAAACACAAGATTTTCATCTTATAGCTGCAACAAGAGGTAGAACAAATCAGATTTCGAAATTAAAGGTACAAGATTCGATTATCAAGCATCAGAAAAGTATTCAACAAATATTTGTTAATTACTTTCGTTCGAGGCTCAATGATGTAAAGACTATGCCAGTGAAGAGATTTGGCATACCTTTAAAGAGGTTAAACGCTGCGACTAGAAGAAGCATTGAAAATCCTTTTTCGGAAGAGGAGGTGTGGTTTATTATAAAGTCGTCCGATGATTCAAGAGCACCAGGACCGGATGGTTTCAATTTGGACTTTTTTAAGAAGTTCTAAAAGGTAATTAAAGGTGATGTTATGAAATTCATGGCTGATTTTTATTGGGGCAGAATAGAAGATTTTTCATTCAACAAATCGTTTATTGCCCTCATTCCGAAGAAAGTCGAGGCTACTAATCTTGAGGACTTTCGACCTATCTCCTTGATGGGGTGTATGTATAAGATAGTGGCTCGTGTTTTGGCTAAGAGGATGGCGAGTTGCATTAACGAAGTGATTGGTGAAAATCAGTATGCATTTATTGCGGGTAAGCACATTTCAGACTGTGCTCTGATTGCAAATGAAGTTATCGACTATTTGTTCAAAAGTAAGAAAGAAGCAGTGTTATTCAAGGCTGACTTTAGTAAATCATATGATACTGTTGATTGGAAGTTTTTGAATGTTAATCTCAAGAAAATGGGCTTTGAAAGGAGATGGAGGAAATGGATAAATTTGTGCATATCGACTCCCTTGATTGTTGCGTTAGTTAATGGTTGTCCTTCTCCTAATTTTTCAATAAAGAGGGGATTAAGACAAGGTTGTCCATTGTCGCCTTTTCTATTTAATGTTGTGGGAGAGGCTCTTAGTGGGTTGTTAAAGAAAGCAGTTGAAATTGATCTATGTGGTGGAATTAGAATAGGGGATGGAAGCGTTGTAGTGTCACATATTCAATTTGCAGACGACCTCCTAATATTTTTGGAAGCAAAGGGCAGGATGATCAAGAATATCAAGCAGGTTTTAAATATCTTCGAAGTGGTTGTTGGTCTGAAATTAAACATGAAAAAGATAAAAATATTTAGTATAAATGTGGAAGAAAATAGAGTAAAGAGATGGGCAGATTTGATATCATGCAGTTCGACAGTCCTCCCTACAACTTACTTGGGTCTCCCACTTGGGCATAAAAAGAATTCTAAGACATTGTGGTAGCCTATTCTGGACAAAGTCTGGGCTCGTTTGGATAGCTGGAAAGGTAAGCTTCTCTCTTTTGGGGGTAGGCTTACATTGATTAGATCAGTTCTTATCAATTTACCGGTGTACTACATGTCTTTATTCCCAATTCCTAAGCTTATAGCTGCTAGGATTAATAAATGTATAGAGAATTTTGTTTGGAATGGTAATACGAGAGAGGAATTCACTAGATCAAGTGGGATAATATTTGTGGGCCTAAATCGCATGGGGGTCTGGGTATATTTGATGTTAATTTGAGGAATCACGCTTTACTTAATAAATAGATTTGGCGTTTTAGTGAGGAAGGGGATAGTTTATGAAGAAAGATAGTAGCAGTGAAGTATTTTTATGATCAGAATTCTATTATGCCAAAGGCTGTTAATCTTAGGAAATCTTCATAGGTTTGGCGTAGTATTATTAACCCAATAGAGTCTTGTGGTGGGGCTGAATTTTTATCTGAAGTAAGATTTGTGATGGGAAATGGTTCAAAAATCGAATTCTGGTTCGATCATTGGACGAAACTGGTTTCTTTAAAAACATATTTTCCTAGACTGTTTCGGATAGCTACTAAGAAATCCGGAAAGATTTGTGAGTTTGGTCATTGGGTTAATGGAGTTTGGGAATAGAAAATTGAATTAAGAAGATAACTTTTTGAGTGGAAAAGGACTCTGTGGAGTGATTTCATTCAAGTCTCGAACAGAGCTGTTAGTTTAGCTCATGGGGTTGATAAATTAAAATGGTTAGGATCTTTAAATGGTTCTTACATTGCTAAATCTTTATGCAATAAGTTAGCATGTGTTGGCAAGTAAGAAGATCCTATTTGGAAATTGGTGTGGTTTAAATTTGCTCCTCCAAAAGTTTCAACGTTTGTTTGGAGAGCAATTCATCAAAGGTTGTCGGTATCATAGAGCTGGAAAAGAGATGTATGCTTTGCAATGTTCAATCTCTTTGTGTCTTCTACAATCGAAAATATGAAACAGTAGATCATGTTTTGTGTCATTGTAATGTTGTTTGGAAAGTTTGGCAACGATGATGTAGTGTATGGAAGGTCAATTTAATATTCCCTATGAAGGTAGAAGGGTTGTTTGAGGCATGGTTCAATCAGAAAATTAGAATGAAAGTTCGGCCTCTATGGGAATTGGGTTTTTTTTGGTTTGATCTGAAAAATTTGGCTGTACAGAAACAAAGTTAGGTTCAAGGGTAGTGTTTTTTCAGTGGATCAAATTTTTAATATAAACTTGATTCAGATAGGGGTTTGGGCGAACTTTTTATGGCCAACGTTGTTCCGGTCATTCAAGAATTTGTGCAAAGTCTTCATTCTATCATTCTTGGCGTGTGTTGACAGTGATATTATGCTACTGTGCAGTGTTGCTGCTGTGTTTTTTTGCATGTTTGGCGAGATAGGTCGTTGTTACTGTTATGTTTGATGTTATGTTAGATTCCATTGGTTATATTGTCTGCTTATGCTTCCCATTTAGTTCTCATTTCATATAAATGGTTTGTCTATGTTGGTTTTATTATGAGTTAGATTGGGGATTGTTGTAGGGCTGGGGTATGGCTTGTATGATGTAAGAGTTTTTTGTGTATAAGATCCTAACCACTTCAAGATACATTCTTTTTCTCTATTTAGGGTTAGGGAGGTTTTTTAATGAGTTCCTTGAGGTGTTGTATTTTGTAATTCATTATAATACAAAGTACCCTTTTTCAAAAAAAATATTTATTATATGTGACAAAATTTAATTATTTTTTATATTTTTTTATTGATAAATTATTTTTTCTTTAAATTTTTAAAGTTTATTTCTTAAAATTTTTATAAATTTATCTCTAATATCAAATTATGCGTCTCTCTTGATAAGGGGTGAGAATTTTATTAAAATTTACGAGGTATTAAACCTTAATTATGTTAGGTTGCTATTAGTGGACTTGCCACTATAACCTGCCCCTTTAGAAAGGTTTCCTTGCATCTAGTCTCCTGCATGTCCCTACAAAATGTCCATTGACATATAACCCACCATACATATAGCCGACCAACCAGAGAAAAGGAAATGTCCATATAAAAATATTTGATTACATTTGCGACCTAAATTCCACTATGTCAGTCACCAGCTCTCATCATAAATACTCCTCATTTGGCTACCAAAACTATAAGAGCAAACCCTATATTGTTTTTGAAAGATGGGAAAAATGGGATTCATGCTCTATCTAGACACAGTTTTGATCCCCTTTAGTCTCTTCCTCACATTGGGTTACCATGCCTATCTTTGGAAAACCTTCGAGCAAAGACCCTCTTCCACCAAAATCGGACTCGAAAAGTTACACAGAGAATTTTGGTTTCGCGACATCAAACAGGTAAGTTGTTGGAGGACGCTTTCTATCGAAATATTTCTCTATTTTATTTATGTATATCGTGTAAAATTTTTGGAATTAAAAATAGGAAATAAGAATATATTTATTAAAAAAACTAAAAATTTTACGCTAAATATAAATAGATACTAATTCATATTATGGGTATGATATTTCAGGGTGATGGTAAGAAAGGTATGTTGGCGGTCCAAAGCTTGAGAAACACTCTAATGGCCACCATTCTCTCTGCTTCGATAGCCATTCTTGTTAACTTAGCATTGGCGGCCTTGACCAACAATACATACAATGCCAGCCACCTTTTCAACAGCGAAATCTTCGGGTCACAATCCGAAAGGATCTATGCTCTCAAGTACGGTTTGGCGTCGTTGTTTCTATCGATTAGCTTCTTATGCAGTTCCATGTCTGTCGGATTTCTGATCGATGCTAATTTCTTGATAAATGCTGTTTCCCTTGACGACGATCGATTCTCATATGATCCGTATTCCTACACACAAACCATATTCGAACGAGGGTTCAGTTTCGCTTTTGTTGGAAACCGGGTGCTCTGTGTTGCGTTTCCGATATTGTTGTGGATGTTTGGTCCGTTGCCGGTGGCACTGTCATCGGCGGCACTGGTTTGGGGATTGTATGAATTTGACTTTGCGCCTGCTAAACAAATTTCCTGAACCGATCGAAACAACTACAGCGTCAGGTAGCCTTGAAAATTGACTATGACCTTGAAAATTGACTATGACCAACAATGTCCACGTTCTCAGAAGAGGAAGAATCGTTCAAGAAAGAAAAATAATCACTCGTTTGGTTCTCATCGGCCAAGTGTATGGCTGCTTTATTGTAATCTCTCCTCTTTATATATGGCTGACAATTGCAAGGAAAAGTATGTTTTAGACATAACCCCCCCCCCCCCCCCAAAACACAAATCCCGTGTTTGCTAGCTCGTACCGTTAAAGCCATGCTTGAGTAAAACTCTGGAAATCAGTTGGAGGTTGCTCATCCTCACCAGGGGCAAGGCAATCAATCAGCTTGAGGGCTGTGCTTTGTTTTTGTAGCTTATAAACCATACTGCAATGTAACGGTGTTTATCCATACTAGTTGAAACTTTGTGTTTTAGACTGTGATATTTCTTGATGGGGATTTAGGGTTTGCATTTTCAAATTGGAAATGCACATGCCCCCGTCTTTGATTGCCACACCTCCCACATCGCCGTCAAATTTGCTGCTATTGAGTTCTTGAAGAACGAAGATGCAAGAATGGAGAAGATGGTTCCGACAAGTCCATGGATATGGAAGCTTTTTCATAAAGGAGGGTCAAAAGATCAGTCAAAATGATGTGATGCAGTGGTTAACTCACCACATCATCAGCTGGTTATTCCCGATAACAGCTCCAAAGATTTAAAGAACAGTCCGATGCCGTAATATCGTCTGCTATATATCGATAATGATATTGTTTATTATTGCACGACTTTAATACCCACAATCACTATAATACTATATCCATAATCGTGATAAATGCAATTAAAAACGTGATTTTAATATTTGACAACTATTAACGACAAGTGATTAATTTATTATAAATCAATAACGTTAGCAACAAAATCGTTATTTTTAAAACATTAATGGAGAAAAGAGAAGTCTATTCAAATATCATTGACCAATTTACGTAGTTTGCCCCTTTTCAGTTACTAATTAATCAAATGGATTCCGTCTGAGGCCACCATATTACAAAGGCCATATCAAATTAACCAAATATTAAAAGCAATCCCCCTACCCCACACCACGTTCAAAATCAATCCCCAACCCTAATACCTTGCAAACCCCAAACCTTGGTTTGTTAATTGTTATAACTAACCCCTTTTTCTGGCACATGGGAAATAACTTTTTTCTAAATTTCGATTTATTTATTTTAATTAATGAAATTTTTTAATATATATTTAAAAGACATCGTAATCAACTAGTCATATTTTTCTTTCATATATGAAAAACCCATGAATGTAGATTTAAACTGAAAAAATAATAAATGATTATTTCGTTTTTGATAAATGAATAAGAATATATTCTAGATCGAATTTGTGAAAATGCTGCATAATCAAATTTATGAATTTAAAGTTTAAATTAGTATTCTTTTTATATTATTTATTTCTAATCATTTCTACGAATATTTTATATTAAATTTCGAGACAGAGAGAGAGTTTTTACCTTTTATTAAATTATTTTTTAAAAATGAAAATTTATTCATCCCATTGGAGCATACATTCATGAATTCACAAGCCATTGGAGCATACATTGTTTCCTGCCAATCCGGAAACAAGAACACCTTCTGGATTCTCTTTTGCTTGCTTCACAAGTTTCTTGGAAATCGGATAGCATATCTCAGCTTTACTTCGTTCAAGGCTATGGATAGGACTTCTGCAGTAGTCATCATTTAGAACACTTTTCGGGGGGGGGGGGGTCATCAAATCGTGCTTCAATCGGCAGATTTTGCTTCTTTTGCAACATGGTCTCCTCAAAGTTATCTGTTTTGGCCAAGGGCTGTACATGTAAACCGTTTGATGCTAAGTTGCTCTTTGCTGCAAACCCCCCGGAAGATGTTTTACCTGATAAGGTTGAATTAGATTTTTCCGTTGTGCTCGGACCGCCACCAGTTCAGGACTTGATTGAAGTCAGTTGTGGTGAACCGGATACTACTGCTTCAGCTGAGGGTGTGACTGAGCTTGTTTATGATGAACCTGCTATAGTTTACAGCCGATTGCATTCTTTGCTCTGTCCCTCATCTCTTGTCAGCACGCCCTTGAAGCTAAGCAAACTCACTTTAAGTGAGACAGGGGATGCAATTGATCTAATAGAATGTATCAAGGAAGAAACTTACAATGAGGTTGAGGAGCTATCTGATGCAGATGGTGACCATAAAATGAAGGTCAGTAGCATAGGCATTGAGGATTTTGAGGTTTTGAAGGTGGTTGGGCAAGGTGCATTCGGAAAAGTATATCAAGTAAGGAAAAAGGGCACACACAAAATTTATGCGATGAAGGTTATGCGGAAGGACAAGATAATGGAGAAGAATCATGCAGAGAACATGAAAGCTGAGAGGGATATTTTAACAAAAGTTGACCACCCTTTCATTGTCCAGCTCGAATACTCATTTCAAGTAATTTCTAGCGCTCTTCAATGAATAAAATCTCCTGAATTTTTTGTTAAATGCTTTTAACAGACAACTTAGGAATCAAAATTTTATAATGCCTTGTACTGATGATTTTTACCTATTGCTCTTACAGACCAAATATAGGTTGTACCTTATTCTGGATTTCGTTAACGGCGGGCACCTTTTTTTTCAGCTTCACCGTCACGGTCTTTTCAGGTATCGATGTTATCTTTGTATTTCATCAATATACCATGTCCAAGAAATGGTTGATTATGTTTTCATTGTTTTTCAGAGAGGATCAGGCTCGTATCTACGCTGCTGAGATTGTTTCTGCAGTGTCACACCTTCATGCAAATGGCATTATGCATAGGGATCTTAAACCTGAAAATATCCTTTTGGATGCTGATGGCCATGTATTCACTTTCTCCTCTATTGTTATCTTTATTTGTGCTTGCTGCAAGAGGAAAATTGACAATATCTTTGTTTCTATATGTAGTTAATATTGACTGATTTTGGCCTGGCGAAGCAATTTGACGCAAATAAGATATCAAACTCCTTGTGTGGAACAGTGGAATACATGGCACCTGAAATAATTACTGGGAAAGGCCATGATAAGGCTGCAGACTGGTGGAGTGTTGGTGCTTTAATATTTGAAATGCTTACTAGAAAGGTTGGTGCCTCTTTTTTCCCTGCATCAAATATCGCTTTGTAGATGTTCAAAATGCTTACTTTCACTGGTTTATGTTCTTGCAGCCTCCTTTTACCGGAGGAAACAGGGAAAAATCCAGCAAAAGATTGTTAAGGAGAGGATGAAGCTGCCTAAATTCCTTTCCAGTGAAGCACATTCTCTGTTGAAAGGGGTATTCAAAGCCTTGGTTTATGTTTCTCATTTCCTATTTGTAAGTCTTGAATCCCAAAAGTTATTTGCATCTACTGATTACTAATAATTGGTTTTGTGCTGTTTTAGCTGCTACATAAAGATCCTAGCAAGCGCCTTGGAAGTGGACCAACTGGAAGTGAGGAAATCAAGCGATGCAAGTGGTTGAAGACAATCAACTGGAAGAAACTAGAGGCAAGGGAGATCCAACCCGGTTTTCACCCCGAAATCGCCGGGAAGCATTGCGTTGCGAACTTTGTCGAGAGATGGACCGACATGCCATTGACGTTTTCTCCAGCGTCTAGCCCATAGACCAAAACAAACCCTTTCGTAGATTTCAATTATATAAGGCCTGCCTGCTAGTCCCTTATGTTAATGTGTCTTGGCTTGCCCTTGGGATTCAATAGAATTAAGGAACTGTTATGGAAATAGTCTTAGTTTTTAAATTGAAATAGAAATGGTCACAAATCAATTCAATCATCTATGACAAAGTTTCCACATGCATAACAAGGAGAAGAGTGGACAAATAAGCACAGACACAAAATCTAATCAGTTCCAACTTGAGTTGTATAAGGAATTCGGGTTGAACCGAGTCCTTGAGGGTGCTGAGGGGCCATAAAATTTGTTTACTCCGATTTCAACAAAGTGCTTTGTATCGAGACTCTTGCTGCCATTTCCGTTATCCATGATCAAGATAGTATCTATTCAAAGAGCATTCACAATTGTTTAACATTTAACGTTCATACTTGTAGTATTTATGATGTTCGAACCCAATATCTCAAGGAATAACAACAATTCTTTTAATACCGAGGTTGCTTGGTTCGTGCATGAGAAAAGAACTCGTCATTCGAAGTCAAGATTAGAAACATTTTTCCACTTAACGTATTGTGTCATATGATACGTTCTTAAAATGTTACGTGATTTTTTTATGACGAAAAAAATGATCGATGCTATATGTGTAACAATTGATTTAAAATTAATTAAAATAAGATAATTCTTTAAATATTCAAATGATAATAAAATATAATTTTATAAATCAATATATCATCTTATCTTAAATAATAATATAGGTAGAGAGTAATTAACATTAAATAACATTTATACCTACACATCAACTGCAATGGGAATGGATCATAGTTGAGCTGCATGATATATGCAACACAAGTTGGCAAAGTGAAGTGTGAAAGAAAAGAAAACAGTAAAAATAGGGTGCCTTACAAACAGGGACGGAGCTCCGATAGGCCCAAAGGGCCGGCTCCAGTTAAAATTTATATATTTAATATAATTTTGATTTAATAGTATTTTAGTTCATATAAAAATAAGAGAAAATCGTCTCAGTGACCAAAAATGCCTTATAATATACGATTTTAACCAACTTTTTTTGGATTTGCCAAAATGACCAACAAAATCGCAACGCGAAATAAAAATCGCAACGCGATCCCCAGAATCGCAAATCAATTTCCAAAATCGCAACGCGATTCTTGAAAATCGCAATGCGATAGTACAAATTCGCATTGCGATTTTCCAGAATCGCAACGCGAATATGAAAATCGCAACGCGAACACATAAATCGCAACGCGTATCCGTAAACCGCAACGTGTATCCGTAAATAGCAACGCGTATCCGTAAATCGCAATGCGTATCCGTATATCGCAACGCGTATCCGTAAATCGCAACGATAATCCGTAAATCGCAACGAGAATCTATAAATCGCAATGATAATCCGTAAATCGCAACGAGAATCTGTAAATCACAACACTGAAATTTTGGGTATATAACTACGCAACAGCAGCAAATCATAAACTAAATCCCTAAATCGCAACTCATTCCATCTCCATCTATCACTCTCTTCGGCGACATCCGTTCCTATATCCAACGACATCCTTCCCAATCCGGCAACAGGTTTTAGTTTCGCAGCTCGTCTGTTTAGTAAATTAATTTACAACCATGAAATCATCTAATGTTGATCATGTTTGGATAGATTTGTGTTTTGGAGGGTCATGGGATAATGTTCATGGTGTTTTACAATATATGCCTTTATCCATGAATCTTCAACTAAAATTGTCTTTACAAAAGTTAACTTATGAAACTCTAATGCTACGTGTTTCAAAGAAATTGAATTTAGAGCCCCTAAGTGGATTTAGGCTATCTTATCAGAGAAATGGTAAAGTTTATTTGTTAACCGACATTGAAGATGTTGAACGATTCATTGCTTACATTAGTGTTTCACAAGATGATGTTACATTGTATGTTGTTGAACCTAGAAGTAGTATTGTTGGGTCAGTAGCGGGTAGTAATCAACTAAGTTTTTCTCAAAATCCCAATCAATTTTCAGCACCAAATTCCGGTTTTCGTATTGACCAGTTAGACGATGATGAGCCAACAGAAAAAATTGTGAGTACTAGTCAGTATTCGAAATTTGGT